ACTTCTACTTTTACTCAAGTCATTTTTTTATATATTACTTGTACTTCTACTCCAGTACTTTCTACGTCTCTGCAGCCTTCGGAGGGAAGGCGTGCTGAAAAGTTCAGTTCCAGGCAAATTCTCATGAATTATTATCAGAACTGGTAATCTTTGGTCACAGTGGGATATAAACCATTTCAGAACCGTTTCAGAGGACAGATTAAGACTCACACAGATTTACAGCGCACGGCTTTTTTCCCTCGTGTTTATTTTCTATGCGTCTGAGTTTTGTTTGCTCGGATACAGTTACACAGCAAATCATGCGGTTCCTGGTATGTATTTAAAACCGAATGTTTCTGGAAAGGAGAGTTTTTCCTCCAAAAAGTTATGCTTTACATAAGTCTAATTACATGCTTTAAGGCATGGTGACCCACAGCCACTGGAGCAATTAAAATACTGTTTAATGCTCATATATCGCTGTAAAATCAGATTATGTTCCTGTGCTGTTAATATATAGGAATAAAATCTTTTTTCATGCAAATAAACAGACATGAACAACTTATTGAACAATAAACAGTTGAGTTTAAATACTTTTTACATGAGAATTGATCAAAGCAAAACAAGGCAAAACACTCGATATACAGTGAAAAGTATTCAATAGATTATAATAGATAAGAGCCACTAAATTCAGTCAAATTACAGAGAAAAGGTTGGTTTTATTTTTGTGTTTACGTCTTGGAACATCTAAGATGGTTTTTTGTTGCCCCTGGTTTCCAAGCTGGAGCATGTTGGTTTAAAAGCTTTTTTAAAAACTGTTTGCAGGATGGAAAACAAAACCTGAGTTAAGATTCATCTTAAAATTGACCTTACAAGGCAGTGGTCCCCAAAAACCACTGTTTACCTCGTATTAAATGCCTAAATGACAAGATTTTGAGACGTAAAATGATCTGTTTGTCAAATTTAGATGGGTAAAAGATCCCATAAATGATCATTTTTTTCATTAATTCTTTCTCTATTTGAAAAATCTATTTTCTGAACATGGATGACTAAACAGTTTACCTTAAAAAATCACCCAAAATGATGAAAACATGCACTACTCCACAGAATCAGAGCCCTTTGTTAACTCATGTCATGAGACCTGTGTCTTTAAACAACTCGGAAATGAATGATTAAAGGCATTTGAGATATGCTTGAACACAGATTTTCTTCCCTGATAAATACCATACAATTACCGTACATTATGTGCAATTACTCAGTTAAAAACAGAATAAGACCTTTTCTCTTGATATTATTAGCCTGTCCTGTGACAAACGCTTAAAAATCAGGAAAAATCTCAGCTTTGAAAGTTCATATACAGGACTGTCTCAGAAAATTTGAATATCGTGATAAAGTTCTTTATTTTCTGTAATGCAATTAAAAATCATGAAGTGTCATACATTCTGGATTCATTACAAATCAACTGAAATATCTCAAGCCTTTTATTGTTTTAATATAGCTGATTATGGCGTACAGCTTAAGAAAACTCAAATATCCGATATATTCTGATATTTTGAGATAGGATATTTGGGTTTCTTAAGCTGTAAGCCTAATAATAAATAACTTTATCACAATATTCAAATTTTCTGAGACAGTCTGTAAAGACTCTGAGCTTTGAAACGGTGCTCTGAGCATATCACCACCACGAATAATTCAAAATACTAAGAAAAAATCATTTTTCTACAGAGATGTGTAGCTGTCCCGTGACTGTTTTACCTGATGGATGCACGTGAATCCAAATCAGGTTTGGTCCAGAGATTGTCATCAAAGAGAAGCTACAGTGGGGGAAATAAGTATTTGAGCCCTTGCTGATTTTGCAGGTTT